TAGGTGAATTAGAAGACACAATTATAGAAAAAGAGGAAGCCCAGAAAAAGAGAGATAAACCGATCCAGGAACATGATAAGAGAGTTTGAGAGCTGAGTGATAGAATCAAATGGTGCAATATCCGTATCAGAGGAATTCCAGAGGAGGAAGAGAGAGGGAAAGGCCCGGAAGGAGTCCTTGAACAAATTATAGCAGAGAACTTCCCGAATCTGGGGAAGGAAACACATAGAAATCCAAGAGGCACAAGGAACTCCCCTCAGATGTAACTTGAATCGATCTTCTGAATGACATATTATAGTGAAACTAGCAAAATAGAAGGACAAAGAGAGAATTCTGAAAGCAGCTAGGGATAAAAGGGCCCTAACATACAAAGGGAGACCTATCAGAGTGGTTGCAGACCTCTCTACTGAAACTTGGCAGGCCAGAAAGCAATGTCAGGAAATCTTCAATGTGATGAACAGAAAAAATATGCAGCCAAGAAACCCCTATCCAACAAGCCTGTCATTCAGAATAGAAGGAGAGATAAAAGTCTTCCCAAATAAACAGAAACTAAAGGAATTCGTCACCACTAAACTAGCCCTACAAGAAATCTTGAGGGCAACTCCATGAGGGAAATGTAGCAAGGAACACGAGGTACCAGAGACACCACCAAAAGCATGAATTCTACAAAGAACACAATGACCTTAAACCCATATTTTTCAATAATAACACTGAATGTAAATGGACTAAATGCTACTATCAAAAGAAATAGGGTAGCAGAATGAATAAAAAAACAAAACCCATCTATTTGCTGTCTACAAGAGACTCATTTTAGACCTCAGAACACCCTCAGATTGAAAGTAAGGGGATGGAGAAATATCTATCATGCTACTGGAAGTCAAGAGAAAGCTGGAATAGCTATACTTATATCAGACAAACTGAACTTTAAAGTAAAGGCAGTAACAAGGGATGAAGAAGGGCATATATAATTCTTACAGGGTCTATCTATCAGGAAGTGCTAACATTTATAAATATCTACACACCTAATACGGAAGCACACAAATACATAAAACAATCACAAACAGAAACAATCTTATGGACAAGAATGTGCTAATAGCAGGGACTTTAATACTCCACTTACAGCGATGGATAGATCAACAAGACAGAAAATCACTAACGAAACAATGGACTTGAATGATACATTGGACCAGATGGATTTGACAGATATATTCAGAACCGTACATCCTGAGGCCATGGAATTCACTTTCTTCTCAAGTGCGCATGGCACATTCTCCAAGATAGATCACATACTGGGACATAAAGCAGCCCTCAATAAATATAAAAGTTTTGAGAACATACCATGCACATTTTCATATCAGAATGCTATGAACTTTGAAATCAACCACAGAAGAAGTCTGGAAAACCTCCAAAAATATGGAGGGTAAAGAACATCCTACTAAAAAACGAACGGACCAATTAGACAATTGAGAGGAAATTCAAAAATATATGGAAACAAATGAAAATGAAAATACAGCAATTCAAACTCTATGGGATGTGGCAAAGGCAGTCCTAAGAGGAAAGTACATTGCACTTCAGGCCTATTTCAAAAAATTAAATAAAGTGCAAATACAAAATCTAACAGCTCACCTAAGGGAATTAGGAGATCAACAAGAGCACCCCAAACCCAGTAGGAGAAGAGAAATAATAAAAATCATGGCAGAAATAAACAATATAGAATCCAAAAAAAAAAAAAACAAAAACAGCTGAACATATCAATGAAACCAAGAGTTGGTTTTTTTGAAAAAATAAACAAAATTGACACACCTCTAGCCAGACTTCTCAAAAAGAAAAGAGAGAGAACCCAAACAGACAAAATCATGAATGAAAAGGGACCGATTACAACCAACCCCTCAGAAATACAAGCAATTATCAGGGAATACTATGAAAAATTATATGCCAACAAATTGGACAATGTAGAAGAAATGGAAAAATTCCTAAACACACACTCACTACCAAAATTCACATGGGAAGAGATAGAAAATATGAAAAGACCTATAGCTCGTGAGGAAATCAAATCAATTATCCAAAATCTCCCAACAAATTAGAGCCCTGGGCCAGATGGCTTCCCTGGGGAATTCTACTAGACATTTAAATCAGAATTAATACCCATTCTTCTCAAGCTATTCCAAAAATTAGAAATCAAGGAAAACTTCTGGACTCATTTTATGAAGCCAGCATCACTTTGATTCCCAAGCCAGACAGAGACCCAGCAAAAAAAAGAGAACTACAGGCCAATATCCTTGATGAATGTAGATGCAAAAATCCTCAAGAAGATACTTGCAAATCGAATCCAACAGCACATAGAAAGAATTATCCACCAGGATCAAGTGGGATTCATTCCTGGGTTACAGGGCTGGTTCAATATTCTCAAATCAATCAATGTGATACATCACATTAACAAAAGAAAAGATAAAAACCATATGATCCTGTCAATAGATGCAGAAAAAGCATTTGACAAGATACAGCATCCCTTCTTAATAAAGACCCTCGAGAAAGTCGGGACAGAAGGAACTTACCTAAACATCATAAAAGCCATCTTTGAGAAGCCCTCAGCTAACATCATCCTCAATGGGGAAAAACTGAGAGCTTTCCCCCTGAGATCAGGAACATGACAGGGATGTCCACTCTCACCGCTATTGTTTAACATAGTGCTGGAAGTCCTAGGATAGCAATCAGACAACAAAAGGAAATCAAAGGCATCAGAATTGGCAAAGAAGAAGTCAAACTTTCACTTTTCACAGACAACATGATACTCTACATAGAAAACCTGACAGACTCCACCACAAGCCTACTAGAACTGATCCATGAATTCAGCCATGTTGCAGGATACAAAATCAACATACAGAAATCGGTTGCATTTTTATACACCAATTGAAGCAACAGAAAGAGAAATCAAGAAACTGATCTCATTCACAATTGCACAGAAAAAAAACATAAAATACCTAGGAATAAATCTAACCAGAGATATAGAAGATCTGTATGATGAAAACTATAGAAAACTTATGAAGGAAATTGAAGAAGACACAAAGAAATGGAAAAACATTCCATGCTCATGGATCTGAAGACTGTTGTTAAAATGTCATGACTAGCCAAAGCAATCTACACATTCAATGCAATCCCAATCAAAATTGCACCAGCATTCTTCTCAAAGCTAGAACAAACTATCCTAAAATTTGTATGGAACCACAAAAGACCTCGACTAGCTGAAGTAATATTGAAGAAGAAAACCAAAACGGGAGGCATCACCATCCCAGACTTTAGCATCTACTAAAAAGCTGTCATCATCAAGACAGTATGGTATTGGCACAAAAACAGACACATAGACCAATGGAATAGAATAGAGAACTCAGAATTGGACCCACAGATGTATGGACAACTAATCTCTGATGAAGCAGGAAGGAGTATCCAATGGAAAAACGACAGCCTCTTTAACAGATGATACTGGGAGAAGTGGACAGCAACATGCAGAAGAATGAAACTAGATCACTTTCTTACACCATACACACACACACAAAAATCTCAAAATGGATAAAGGACTTGAATGTGATATAAGAAACCATCAAAACCCTAGAGGAGAAAGCAGGAAACAACCTCCTTGACCTCAAATGCACCAATTTCTTACTTGACACCTCCCCAAATGGAAGGGAATCAAGAGCAAAAATGAACTATTGGGACCTCATCAAGATAAAAAGCTTCTGCATGGCAAAGGAAACAATCCATAAAACTAAAAGGCAACTGACAGAATGCGAAAAGATAGTTGCAAAAGACATATCGGTTAAAGGGCTAGTATCCAAAATCTCTAAGGAACTCACCAAATTCCACAACCAAAAACAAACAATCCAGTGAAGAAATGGCAGAAGACATGAACAGACACTTCTCCAAAGAGGACATCCAGATGGCGAACAGACACATGAAATGATGCTCAGCATCCCTCCTCATCTGGGAAATACAAATCAAAACCATACTGAAATACCACCTCACGCCGGTCAGAGTGGCTAAAATGAACAAGTCAGGAGACTATACATGCTGGTGAGGATGTGGAGAAATGGGCACCCTCCTCATTGTTGGTGGGAATGTAAACTGATGCAGCCACTCAGGAAAACAGTGTGGAGGTTCCTCAAAAAATTAACAATTGTACTCCCCTATCACCCAGAAATAGCACTGCTAGGAATTTACCCAAAGGATACAGGAGCGCTGATGCATAGGGGCACATGGACCCCAATGTTCTTAGCAGCACTCTCAACAATAGCCAAAACATGGAAAGAGCCTAAGTGTCCATGACCTGATGAATGGATCAAGAAGACGTGGTTTATGTATACAATGGAATACTACATGGCAATGAGAAAGAATGAAATCTGGCCATGTGTAGCAACGTGGATGAAACTTGAGGGTGTTATGCTGAACGAAAGAAGTCAGGCAGAGAAGGACAGCTACCATATGTTTGCAGTGTAGGTGGATTAGGAGAAACTTAATGGAGGACCATGGGGGAGGAGAAGGGGAAAAATATTTGGGGAGAGGGAGGGAGGCAAACCTTGAAAGATGCTTGAATGCTGAGAACAAACTGAGGGTTGGTGGGGGAGAGGGGAAGGGTGATGGGCAAGGAAGAGGGCACTTGTTGGAGAGCACTGGGTGTTCTATGGAAACCAACTTGACAATAAACTATGAAGGGAAAATTAAAAAAAAAAAAAAAGAAATGACAGAAAGGAAACTTTAAAAACCTAACAATAAATATTTAATGAGATTTGGTATGTAAATAACAGTTGAGGTCTCCTCCAAACTGTTATGAGGGTCCAGGGGAAAATGAATGTAGTAACTACACTGGTGATTTTTAAGTGGTTCATTGTTTTTAGTTTGAGATGCTCCCCAAAATGTCCCCAACATAGTGTATCCAAAAACCTGGGCACAGCTCTAGGGATAAAGGGCTTACACCTAACCTTTCTTTTAAATAAAAATGGAAAGCAGTGCTCACTTTGGCAGCACATATAGTAAAATTGAAATGATACAGAGAAGATTAGCATGGCCCCTATGCAAGGATGACACCCAACTTTGTGAAGCACTCCATAATTTTTATAGGTCAAATATATTTCAATAAAGCTGTAATTTTAAAAAAAGGAAAACAGAAAAAACTTTCTTCTAACAAAAAAAACCCACCCAAGAAGTGCAATGATTATTCATTATGAATGTGTCACTCTCAGAATTACCTATGTAAGAAAATATTCTCCTTCAGAATTACCTATGTAAGAAAATATTCTCCTTCATGCAAACAGTGAGAGCCACAAATTAATATGCCCTTAATCCCTAACATCTAAGTAATTTTGAAGCCAGAAACAAGGTAAAATCTGTTCACAAGGTGTACCACTACAGTTCAATTCTTATACATAGGAAATATTCCCATTATAGAATTTCAAGACTCTAAAGGACAATTTGTGTTTCTATTGGGATGTTTTAATAAAATGAACAATTTGGCATATGAGACATGTAAGTTCCATGCAATATTTGAAAATATATCTGTGGAGCTAACCAGTTGCATACCTGGGGAAATGCCCTTTTGAAAAAAAAAAAAGCATGAGAATGAATATAATGGTTACATTCTATGGTTTATAAACAGATTTTCCATATCTGTTCATTTTTTGATTACAGAAGTATCAGAGTTCCCAGAGAACCTAAACGCCAAATTACATTTATTGCAATAAATATATATTACATTTTATTTTATATATCACACAGTTCAAGGAAAATATGTACGTTGAGTTTTCATTTATGAGAGAATATGATCATATATATACTTATATAAATATAAAATCAGATGCAAAAAATTAACATACAACTTCAGTCCTGTTTGTATTTGTTCTCCAACTGAGTTTGTGTGTGTGTATATGTGAGCACGTGTGCACACGCACACACCCCTCAATCCAAAACCTACAATTTACCAAAACCAAAAACATTTTTTCTTTCCTTCACTTCACTTTACAATTCTCTCAGGGAAATGGATAGAGTGCTACATTTAGAGTGACCAAGTAGAATCTCTTAAGATAAAATATGATTTGAGTTTAATTCTGTAGCTGATGAAGATCAAGGGCATCTATAAACAGATTTTTTGTGTGTGCTATGTAATTCCACATGCATTCAATTCACTACTGTTAAGAATCAACTATGGTGCTTGCTTCAGCAACACATATGCTAAAACTGAAACAATTACAGAGATTAGCATGTCCCTAGCACAAGGATGACATGCAAATTCATGAAGCATTCCATATGAAAACAAAAAAAGAATCCACTGTGATTACTTGATTTTACATTTTGACCTGTGCTTTAATCCTGACTGAGCATATCTTGATTGTATGAATTATTGATTAATTCAGGTGTTATTATTTAGATTTTTTACTTAGATTTTTCCCAATCACTTATGACTTGATCAGTTTCAAAGCACACAGGACTCTTACTTCCACTGGATTACAAGTGCATGGTAAAATATAAAAGGTTAAGTCTAAAAAAAAAGTCTAAAAGACAAAAACTGTTTTCTTACCCAAGAACAAGAAGTGAAGAAACTGATGAATGTTGTTTGTGGGCAGTCGATAGTCTACCCAGATGACCTTCAAAGAATGAAATGTTTCTAGATCAAAAATAGCCCTTCTAGCAACACAAGGGAAGTCAATTATCAAGTAAATGCACATTTAAAATACAGGGGAGAACCCTCTTCAACTACCAAGACTTTCCAAGTTAGAACTGACTTTTCCATACTGTGCTCTGATTCTCATAGCAATGCTTTAGAGTGGGGAAAGTAGGATTGCTCCTCACTCAAGAAGGTTCTTCTTAAACTGCTCTTAGCTTCCACATAAAGTCAAATTTCCTTAGTCTCCTAATTCCAGCCCCCTTCAATCACCATGGCAGCCTGCTTGACCAAAGGGACTGAGCTTGCTGATGCTATCTTGTCCAGTGGCCCTGACATGATCTCTGGAGATGATAATAAGATTTGCTTCTATGCAAACTCTCCTTCAGGTACAATTAATAAAAAATTTTATGTGTAATCCTTACCTTAGTTCATAGATACAGAAGTGTTGATGTTTATGAATTTCTTCTAACTGGTATTATGGACTTGCTTCATGTTAAGCAGACAGTATTCCCATCTTCTCTGAGGGACACATAATCCTTGTACCATTTGGGCAATACCAATGCTGCAGCCAAACAGCATGGTCCCAAAATAGAAATCTGCTTCTGATGTTTAGGAAACATACCCCACAGCTTTGATGAGGCTTTGAAGGCCTATGGGGATCTGTATATAAAAGTTTGGATCCAAAAAGATATCACTTTTCCACAATCATGTAGAATGCTTTTTTATGCATGTTCTTCTCAGATTCCTCCTCCATGAACCCCAAGGAGTTCATTTTCTACTACTCTCTCAGGGCACTCGCCACTTTCTAGGGTGTCTACTGCTATTCAAGCCCTTTGGTCACCCCCACCACTGGAGTATGAGCACAAGGCTAGAATCTGGTCTCATTCTTCCCTGTCCCCAGCATCTATCACAGAGTAGAAGTACAAGAATCGTGCACTGAGCCACACCACTGTTTACATCTTCTGAGTGCCAAGAAGTACTTGCCATTGCCCAGGCACATGCTCTTCATTGCCTCTCACCCACCTTTTACTCAATGACAGACTCCCTTCCTGGAAACCCTTCCCCATGACTTTACTGATTGAAGCCACATCTATCTTTCAAAGACATATTCCCCAAAGCACCTTCTCCAAGAGTGACTTTCTGATCCGCTCTCCAGTACCCCTGATGGCACCTGCCCTAGTTGGCACTCTATGAAAGTCATGTTTTTCCCATCTCTCACCTCTGTGGGGGAACAGGATTAGTTCTTCTTAATAACTCATGGCTGTCTGAACCTAGCTTGTAAAACTGTGAAGGATAAATCACATTCAGCTGGGTGAGGATTATGACAAGCACTTGGTCTTTCTCCAGAGACCCTAGGGTTCAGGAAAAGAATGACTGAGGATATAGAAAAACATGTAGGAAACAAAGTAGGAGAGATTGCTCCATATGTGGAGCCCTCTCTTTACATAAAAGCATATTTTAAGTGAACCACTGAAAGAGGTCTTGGTGAATCTTTTAATTAAGAATATGATAGGGTGGGGCACTAGGGCGGTATGGTCGGTGAAGCATCTTGATTTCAGCTTAGGTCATGATCCCAGTTGTCTTGGGATAGAGCCCCATGGCAGGCTCCACACTCATGGAACCTGCTTGGGATTTCCTCTCTCTCTCTCTCTCTCTCTCTCAAATAAAGATAAAAATAAAAATAAAATAGTGAACTGGTGAAAGAAAACAAAGAATATGATACTGGAACACTTCATAGCAGAGCTTTCTAAATAGGAAGATTAACATACATAAAATAACAGAAACACTGCATTTGAGAATGTGAAAGAACGTGAAAGTATTACTTACAGATTATATTGGGATATTTTAGGTCTTTCTTCGTCCATATTTGGTAAGATCCATTCTACTTGACTACATAGGAAGCTACCAAGGGAGCAAGAATTCTGTTTTCAGGAACCTGAGTCCTATACTTCTGGTTTTTGGGCAAATCAGGGCGTCTACAGTTCTTTCCACTGCTTCCATTTATATGTTTGGTTGTTCATGTAGTTATCCACCATGGACAAGGAAATGTGCCAGTTAGTTTCACTGCTATTGCTGTTGTTGTTATCAGCCATTAAAGCTAAAAGAACTACAGAAAATAACAATTATTACTATTTCAAAGAAGAGCTATATAACTGTCAAAAGAATTCTCTAAAAATGAAGTAGTTGGAATGTTGAAGAGTCTAAGAATCAAATGGGAAAACCAATGTGATCAGACAGGCTAGGTTGTCTACCTGAAGACATTCATATTTTTATTTAATTTGTAAGATAGCTGGACAATACTGCAAATTTCTGAGAAAGTGACTACCGAGATCAAATCAACTCTAAGTGAGATGATGCAGGGAACTCAAGCAGGCAGACTGAGGAAAGGCTGGATCTTAGCAGTTGTGGAAGGAAGAGAAGAAAGTTGCAAGAGAGGGTGGATTTCAGACATGTTCTAGCAGAGGCAGACTAGTAAGAGAACTAAGAGGAAGATGTGATACTATCTATCATAATGGGCCTGGGAGCAGTGCAGGTTGGAGTGGTTAAAGGTCACAAGGTCAGAGATGTCTTTTTCTAAAGGTAAACTGAGTTAAAGAAGAGTCTAGAGAGAAAATTCGCCAGCTCTGGGTTCTCTTGAATGCTTAGGCATCAATGAAACATGCAAGAAAACCCACCTCTATTTGACAAGAATGATCAATTTGACCACACATACATAAGAGATATTTGGACAGATGACTTAGAGATCTTTTCCAGCTTGGGAAAGTCCACGATTCTACAAGACACGTGCACAGAGAATATTTAAAATCTGACTAATATTTAAAATCACTGGAGTGCCCTAAGGGAGTGATTTAAGGAGAAGTTAAAAGCTCGAAAATATTCAATTAGAAGGATGGAGAGAGTAAGCAGCAGCTTCTCCACTCCATACAAAAAACAAGGAAGGCCGGGATCAGAAAAGGAATGAAGAGAACTGGAAACAAGAGATAAAGATGTAATATATTTTGCATAATGTCAAAGAACAACAATTTCAGCATTGCCAAACTCTATGCCACTTTAATCTGTTCCATTTGAAGAATAATTTGTTCTTTGTCAATATCTTAATTACAAGAAGTTTTTGCCAGCGTTCAATTTATTAGCAATGGCACTTACAAAACCATTTCAATTGGCTTTTCATCCTAGGAGCACCTAACCTGGGAACCTGGGAGATCTCCCACCCAGCCCTGCACAAAGCCTATCTTCCCAGAAAGCCTTAGCTGGCCTCTGTCAGGGGCGGGGGGAGGGGGGGTTTGGACAAAGAAAAGGGATTTGCATAAAGGTGGTTAGCTGAGCACAGCCCCAATGTGAAGCTATACAGTATTGAAAAAGCCATTCTCCAACCTAGCAGTGTAATCCTAATGGAGAGCTTTTGTCCCAGAATCTGTGGTAGGCTGCTTTATTCAGCTGACAATCCACAGTAA